GCAAAGGGTCTGAATACTTAGGACCATGTGATATTTCAGTTTTTCTTTTTTAATAAATCTGCAAAAATGTCAACGATTCTGTGTTTTTCTGTCAATATGGGGTGCTGTGTGTACATTAATGAGGAAAAAAAATTAACTTAAATGATTTTAGCAAATGGCTGCAATATAACAAAGAGTGAAAAATTGAAGGGGGTCTGAATATTTTCCGTACCCACTGTATATATATATATACATATACATACATTACATTATATATACATACATACATTTATGCATTTAGCTTTTATCCAAAGCAAAAGAGGAACAAAAGCAATTCATCAAAGTGCCAAGAATATTTGTAATATACAATGCCAGGTTTATTTGACAACTAGATTAGGAAGCAGGTTTAGGAGGAGAAATGAAGTGAAGAAAAAGTGTTTTATATAGCGCTTTATACAATACAGATGGTTAAACAGGAAAATAACAGTTGATGCTTTAAAATTAATCAGTTACGAAACTATTTAATTTCAGCTGCAATGCAACTTTACAGAAGATAATAGTTTCATTATTCAGCTCAAGTCAGTTCAATGTTTATTCAGTTTAGTGCAGAGTTAGTGTCATTATCCAGCTCAATTCAGTTCATATTTTGTGATCCAGGAAGTGGAATATGTCTGTGCAAGCTTTGGAGGTATTGATACAGGAAGTGGTATATGTCTGTTGATAGAAGCGATTTACTGGATTTATGCTTTGATAATCGTACTGAATATTATCCAGATGTAGTTTTTGATAAAAATGTGATTTTCTCACCTTTTTGCTCAAAATTATGCACTTTTTATGAAACCTACCTATATTCAAGTGTTGATGAAAAAAGAATGCTTTAAGTTAGAATAAAACGGTTAAAAGTAGAGGCTCTGGTCTTTATTTTGGTGTATTGCATATTCAAATATTCATACAGCTAAATATACTGGAGGCCATGAAATTTTTGTGAAAATCATCAAAATCGCTGGCGGTGGCTGGCAACTTTTTTCAAAAATGCTGGCGGGGAAAGAGTTAATATATTAATTGTCTTTAAAACCCCAGGACAAAATTCACAAAAATGCTGAATAAAAATGATGAAATTAAAGTACTTAATTCAACATACAAAACACTGTTAGAGAAAACAAACGTGTAATTGCACGTTTGACTCACAGTCTTCGTTATTGAGATATAACTCTTTTGACAACTTCCCCATTTCAAATACACTTCAGTTTAGTTTACAAGCCTCATCCAGCTTTGACGTTATTGCAAAGTCTGTAATTAAAATAAGAGACTTTTCGTCTGTACCAACAGTAAAATTAACCCATCAACAACACTTGGTGATAGACGTGAGTAATTTCTAAATTATATGTTGTCACAAAGTGTGTACCAGAGGCTGTGTATCAAGTCATATAGCTAATTCTCTAGCAGACAGAAGCTCATGGATCTTCACTGAGCTGTTTCAGATGTGAAGGTCTCAACAAAGGTCTCAGTTACTGTATGTTTCATTAACTATCAACTTTGTCTCAGATGCTTTTCTTAAAATAACTTAGGAGAAATAGAAGTATTAACAAATGAGTCAATAGTTGACATACTGTACAGTAAGTGTATAGAGCTATAAAATGTGGATAGTGGCTCAGATCATTTGGAAATTTGATGAGGAATGTTTATTTATAATGAAACTTGTCATTGCAGACTTAGACCTCTAAAACAGAACTCAGTTGTTTTTTTTGTTTTTTTTTCCTCACCTTAATCATATTTCTGGGAAAAACAATTGAGATAAAAGAGATTTCATTGTGTTTTCTGTGATATGGGAAGCCTTTAGGTCGGAGGAAATGGGATGTTCAACCAGTTGTTTTCTGTCTTCTCAGGCTGAAGTTAATATTACATTTTCTGCCTAACCTGTCAGAGATCTGAATCCTTTGGGAATGATGCTTTACACTTTCTGTTACTTCAAACACTTCACAAAGACCTAATGGACGAATCTCACAAAACCTGTCAAAAACATGCCCAGATCATATTTCACCCCAAATTCATAAGAAAGAAAGGTGAAGAAATGTGACCTGGATGTTTATGTGAAATTCATCCTTCAACACTTTTTCTGCATTTATAGAGAAAATCTTTGTTGAAATTTAAGACGACGTTCTTCTCATCCTGTGATTCTGTGTTATGTCACAGTGACACATTGCTTCAAGGCAAATTCCTTGCAAATTATTCTATTTTTGTTCTTTTTCTTATGTTCAGTGAAATATCTGTGCACATAATAATGTAGAAACACGAGTGGAATGCAGACTTACTGTGAGGATCTCTTGTGAGGACATGCACTACAATACAGACTTAAGATATAGAAATGTTTTTGCTTTAATTAGCTCTAAGGATCTTCTGACATTTAATGCTGACATGCCCAGGTACTTTGTTTTGTGCAGTATGATAAACATGATCAGCATTAGCTGAGCCACAAGCTGACATGTTGGGCAAACAAACAGAGCCGTGTTTTTACAGATCTACAGACCCAGAGTGTTTACACTCACTCTTCAGGAAGTCAACCGTGATATTGACCATTTTGCTGCCACTGAATTAGACCCCATTCTCAAAAACACCACCATCAGTGGATGCTGACTGGCCATTAAAATACACAAAACAGCTCAAATATAAAATATATTAACAGATGTGAAAGGTACTGCTGGAGGTCTGCAAAGAAAATAGAGTAAAACATACTCTATTTAAAAGTTTGTAGTCTGTAAGATGTTTTTTCTGCTCACGACTGCATTTATTTGATTAAAAATACAGTAAATACATGTAATATTGGGAAATATTATTACAATTTAAAATAGCTGTTTTCTATGTGAATATGTTTTAAACTGTAATTTATTCCTGTGATGCAAAGCTGAATTTTCAGCATCATCACTCCAGTTTTCAGTGTCACATGATCCTTCAGAAATCATTCTAATATGCTGATTTGCTGCTCAAGAAACATTTCTGATTATTGTCAATTCATATTTTTGTGGAAACCAGGTTGCATTTTATTTTTCAGGATTCTTTGATGAATAAAAAGTTCAAAAGAACAGCATTTATTTGAAATAGAAATCTTGTCACTTTTGATCAATTTATTGCATCCTCGCTGACTAAAAGTATTCATTTCTTTCAAAAACACAATTTAGTTACCGCAAACTATGGTAGTATAGAACTTTCTTTAAAAAATGATTGTGGAATTTGCAATATTTAAATAAATATTTAACTAATGATTGTATAAGCGTAAAAAGAACTGCTTACAGCACCAACTGGGATGAGAAAGTATTTCAACATAAAAAAACGGCACACTTCACTTTAAGGAGGAGGATTGTTTCTTTACTGAGACTCACAGATGTTGTACACCAGTTTTTCCACATCCAGTATATTTGTCATGTTTTTCCCTGGCTCATGCATGCGATAGAATAAGCTCAGCTCGCTCTTCCTTATCAATTTTATGTTCCCGCTTCAAATAATCCAGAGCTCCTCCGTGCAGGTTTTGACACAGCCAATTGCTCTCTTGGAAGCTAATTATTGCAATCTTCGCCTGGAGAAAGTTTGAATCATATTCTAAGGTTCTCCTCACCTTGTGACTTTAAACAAAACTCTGTAAACATGATGTGGCATGTTGTGGGATGTTTTCAGCGCTGCATGCTGCAGTTGCATGAGATACAGTACAATAATAGTCCAGTGCAGTAAGGTGCTCAGCAAACAGCAGGAGGAATTTCACACCGTGGAGAGACGTGCACACGCTACACAATCAGCTGCTGAGGTGTGAACCAGGGCCACTGGTGTTATCACCTTTTTAAATGCCAGTGTTACATTACAGTGGGCGGATGTGCCTTGCGCTGGCAGGAATTGAGACTATTTTAATGCATCAGAGCCACGTGCCAGAAGCTGTATGCTCTGGAGAAATAGTTAGCCAGTGTCTTTCCAAACCAGAATGACTGATCATCTGTGGAACACAAAAGGTGCATTTCTGTGTAGAAAAGAAAATCCTGGCACTGTTTTCCATATAATGAAAGTGGGTGGGACAAGTGCCCTCCACTTAGAGCCCAAATCCTACCATTAGACATGTACAATGAAAAATATGTAGCATAGAATTCATTTTGAAACTATTTTCACTTAAAAATTGCTAGTAAATTTCCAAAGTTCAGATTTCAATAATTACAAAGAATCTGCAAGTAACACATTGAATTAACATGGAATTTTGAAGTAGAAATACTGAAGTAGCATTTTCTTGTAAAACATACTCCAGTAATCTTTGTTTTATTTACAATTTTGAAAAATAATTTTTTTACAGTGTCGCATTATGCCTTGTGTAAATGACATCAAACATCATTGGTTCTTGTATCTTGTGACCAAATGATATTTGCATCAAACATGATATGGGACATTTATTTGCCATATGTGATTTGAGAGTTACAGTGAAAGGCAGATTTTTAGCAAATAAATTGTTTAATATTTTCAGAAAAGTTTTTAATGGCCCACTAAAGCAATTATACAAGGTAATCACAGTCCCAGTCCTCTTGAGTGTGATGTTGCTTTTTACAAGTAAATGGTTTGACAGACTGTAAATGTGACCCTGGAGCACAAAACCAGTCATAAGTAGCACAGCTATATTTGTAGCAATAGCCAACAATACACTGTATGGGTCAAAATGATTGATTTTTCTTTTATGCCAAAAATCATTGGGATATTTGGTAAAGATCCTACTGTAAATATATCAAAACTTAATTTTTGATTGGTAATATGCATTGCTAATATGCATTTCATTTGGACAACTTTAAAAGCAATTTTCTCAATATTTTGATTTTTTTGCACCCTCAGATTCCAGATTTTCAAATAGTTGTATCTCGGCCAAATATTGTCCGATCCTTACAAACAATACATCAATGGAAAGCTTATTTAGTCAGCTTTCAGATGATGTATAAATCGCAATTTTAAAAAATTGACCCTTATGGACTGGTTTTGTGTTGCAGGGTCACAAATAGTAACGAAATGGAGTATATAAGTAAAGACAAACCTTGTAGTGTCTCAAAGACCCTCTTTTGTGTAAAACTTCTTATGCTTTATATACTTTATATAATATAATTTTTTATAATCTATAAACAAAAGTAATGACATCAAGTTGTCATTATAAGTCCCCATGGTTTGACCAAAAGACAAATGATATAATCAATATTGTTAGTTAAACTCTCACCACCAAAAAAAGTTGACTTTATTCAATTCTTGATTTTTTCCACATTTAATAATCAATAAATCTTTAAAATAGAGTTGGTATTAAAAAAGAAATGAAAGTGAAACAGTGAAAATTCCCAGTGCTGTTGGACTGTTATATTAGCACTCTGCTTGACCAATCAGATCAAGGACCAGAACTAAATGTTGCATAATTTATTATGCTTTTATGGTGGTTTTTGTCATTTTCAAACTTAATATCCCCAATTTACCTTGAGCTACTAAGATATTCTTCAGAATTTCACCTATCGGTCACCCAGAAGAAAAAAAAGTCATATGGGTTTGTAACGAAATGACAGAATCTTTCACATTCTGTGGTCACTTCTCTCATCAGCTCATGTTTTCTGTCTCCTCAGATTCGTCCCTGGCCGAGGAAGGCGAGGGTCATCGGCTCCGGTGGCAGCGTTCCTCTACAAACAGCTCCAGTTCACGGAAGTCCACTAGGAACCGTAAGGAGCGGCGCAACCGTAAGCGAGGCCGGAGCAGCCAGGACTGCCGTTTGGAGAGGAAAGAGATGAAGGTGCGGGATCTGGGCCTCGGCTACAACTCGGACGAGATCGTGGTGTTTAAGTACTGCGTGGGGACGTGCATGAGCGCCCGTAAGAACTACGACCTGGCCTTGAAGGTGCTGACGGATAACGGCAGCGTTTCTGGCCGCAAGGTGAGCACTCACCCCTGCTGCAGACCCACGCGCTTCGAGACCGTCTCCTTCATGGACGCCCAGACGAGCTGGCAGACCATTAAATGGCTTTCAGCGGCCAACTGCAGCTGTGTGGGATGAGAGAAGCCGAGGAGACGCAGCCGCTAAAATCAACCCAAAGCTCCGGTGTAGAAAGCGAGGGAATTCCAGTGCAAGGAACGGGATGCAGCGCTCCTGATGATGCACTGCAAACGCAGCGGATCTGCTAGCGTCAGCACAGGAACCACAGGAATACGGGACGTCCTGCAGGGAGACGGTCGGAAACCGTAGGGATTTGCATCATGTGACCTTGGAGAGCTGTGAAGCGAGTCGTCACATTCCTGCTCCAGACTGCAGTTCTGCATGGAAAGTTTGTGAAAAGTAGCTTGAAGGCCTACATTTCACATGATCTGAAATTGGAGGTGTTTTAAGAACGTGGATATCATGAAGGTTCATTATAACAGAACAGAAGGTGCTTTTAATTCACTTATCAGCTCAGCATGTGTGTTTAATATACACACACTTTCCTTAAGCCATGTGCACACTACAAGACTAAAGTGTGTCACTTTTTTATGTTTGTGAGTAGTCTACAACAAAAATTTCCAGGTTTTTTATATTTTTTTCAGATATGCATGTTGCATGCAGCATTTTACCAGTTTGCAGGCCGGTTCTGAATGCGAAGTGGTGGAGTCCTGCATCGGCTCTTTATAATGATGAAATCATGCTCGATTACACTGCATGTCTGGACGTATGCCTAGTTATAACACTCTCTTCCATCATCTGATCATCATTAGATGAATTACTGCTGCCATGATCGCTAGAAAACGTACACAAACTATTTTTAACTATTTTCAACTCTTTTCTCTTTTAAACAAATTCCGCCTGCTTTCCATAAGCAGTACAAGCTCTGAATTTTTGGAATAATGTTGTATTCAATAAAAGGCCTGTTTTACATAGAAATTAATCATTCTTGGATTTAAAAGAATGTCAGTGACCTAATTTACATTATTGCTCAAAAGTTTGGAGTCGGTAAGAAATTGATACTTTTATTCAGCAACAGTTGACCAAAGTGAGAGTTAAACATTAATAAAGTTACAAAAGATTTCTGTTTCATAGAAATGTTCTTTTTTGAAAGTTCTATCCATTAAAGGATCCTGAAAAAAATATTCTGGTTTCCACAAAAATATGAAGCAGAACAACTGTTTTCAGCATTGATAATAATTAGTTTATTAGCATATTAGAATGATTTCTGAAGGATCATGTGACACTGAAGACTGGAATAATGATGCTGAAAATTCAGCTTTGATCACAGGAATAAATTACACTTTAACATATATTCACAATATTACTGTAATTTTACTGTATTTTTGATCAAATAAATGTGGCTTTGGTGTGCAGAAGAGGCTTCTTTAAAAGTGAAAATAATACTACACATTGCTGTACCAGCACAGATGAAAATGTATCGCGGGTTGTTCATGAATAATATGCAGGTTTTTGCAAGCAAAACTCTAGTGAATTGACCCGTGAGTGTTTAAATGACTCGGGTTGACTTGTGACCGTCTTGTAATGTGCTCTTGGCGTTACACACTTGCACAAACACAACCAATAGCTAACCAGTTATCCTGATGCCACATTCAGTAACCTCTGCTATCAAGAAATACCTCTTTCATTTCGAACTTCTTTGATCAACATTGTTTTTTGTTTCACTGCTCGAGTGGATATCTCTGTTTTCATGTTCTAGATCTTTGTCGGGATACGTGACATTTGATTTGCCAGTTAGATGAAATGGTGCCCTGGCTAAGGTTCGTAGCATACAGCACTGTACTGGTTTACCAAAATGTATTTTAATTGAGACATTGTCACATTTCATGTTTTTGTTCTGTGTTTTTGGGTGTTGACTTATTGTATGCAAGTTGAATGACATACCAAAGCGATAGATAGATAGATAAATAGCAGATCACCTCAGGTAGGGACAGTGGGCAGTAGAAATGAAACCTGTGGTTTACACTTCTATAATCGACCGTCACGCTCTTCTATTCCATTTCTCACACTTACGGTATTAATCTCATGGTTTACTTTAACTTTTGCTTATATATCACGTGTAATGTTTTCAAAGACACTATAATTACCTGTGAACTCATTCTCAGAAGAACATGTCTGGATCACGTGTTCCACTGTAAATTCAACAGAAAATTTTACTTTATTTTTCAGAAATGAAGCCGATTTTTAGAATTTCTTTGACATTATTTTCATATTTTTAATTTCATCAATTAAATATATTTCTCCCAAAACTCACATTCTCGATACTTTAATGTAAAAATATAATGCATAAATGATATTGTATTTATACATTATAGTAGTATTTGTTGTACATGTTTTTTTACTGTAGTACATAAAATGACTGTTACAGTACATATTGCATCATTTTTTATTTTTGTATTATTATTTTTTAAAGGTGACCATAATGTGTTATCATGAGATTCACCCTCAAACTAAAAGCATTTTATGATTAAGGGAATTAAAAATCACAAATTCCATTTTTGTTACTGCCTTTGAATGTAACAGGGATTTTACCAACTGTTTTGTATTGATATTAAGCATTCGATTAATAGAAAACATCATAGAGTAGACATCAGCTTAAACCTCCTAATGTTTTGTTAGATTACTTGCAGTGTTTTGGCCCTGTTTTTGTGTTGCATTTCTGTTTTTTGACTCCTAGATCATAGATCTAATAGATTATCTACTATATTATCCAACATTTGAAAGATGCCAGATGTTCATCACATGATGACACATCACTCGCTTTATATAAATTGCAATAATGTTGTTCTGATAATCTGGTTGGTTTTGGTCAGTTTTGAGTTTTATTCCTCTGAGACCTGAGGAAAGCAGGTTTAGTCTTGAACTGCTCATTTGGTTTCCCAGCGGCGCAGTGAATTCCTTTCCTTCAGGATGGCATCATTTTACCCTTTGGATGCTATGCATCCCCTGCTTTATTTAAGGGAAATTACTGCTATTGTTTGATGTATTTATTGCATTTTTCTTTTTTTTTTTTTTTGGTATACATGTTATCATAATTATATTTTGTATTATTTAAAAAATGTATATACCTGGAATTTATTGCTCAGATTTTTATACAGATGATGAATTTAAAGAGAAATACATTTTATCTTTGTGTGTCATACCACGTGTTTCATTTTCTGTTTTGCTTTGCACCAACATTTACATACCAGACAAGTCAGTTTCTCTCTCTATGAAAACCACTATAAACAAATCAATAGGCTAATGCATTTTCGAACTAATATAAGTGATATTAGTAATTTTCAATACTATTTAGGGCAGATAGGGTGGACTGTATGCACATTCAGACACAGGGACGCTTTCACTCACCTTTTGTTCTAAAAGACCCAAACACTAACAGCACATGGGAAGACCGTAATCAGACGCTTGTCTGTTTAGTATAAACATGTTGTGCTGTGAGAGCATTCATATGGAAACTTTCTGCTGAGGCCTTTATGTGTGCTAAACAGTAAACAAGTTAATATACTATTGCAATAACATATTTGTTCTAGTATCACATAGAATTTAGGATGGCCATGAAATGAAGGCAATTTATGCACAGTGCTGTGGAGACGTCTATGTTCTCTGGGGCTTACTAATGCTCACATCTTTCTATTGAACTACTATAACTTTACTTGTCTTTTCTGTTATTTTTCACACAAGAGATGATGAATTCATGATATTTGACCCCTGAGAAACCGACCCCTGCTGCCAATGCTGCAGACAGTCAATATAAATATAACCCACCCGCGCCATCTAGCGGACGTTTATATAAAATACGCTCAAAACATTCAGATAAACCTTAGAATTCCGAAGTAGAATCTAAAAATGCATGTTTAGCCGATAACATACAGCAGCACAGAAACCTTAAGGAAAATCCTATGTTTTAAAACTATCTTTTACTGTTATTAACAAACATACAACCCTTAATATCAAGTAAAATAAAAGACATTATAAAAATATATATTTCTATTTTGATGCCATGGGGTCACTTACACTGACAAGTAATGACAAATAATATTATGTAATAAAATTAAATATTTATAATATTATTATAAAACGCTGAATTAGTTATGATGTTCTGTCGCTCTCCTGTCGGAGCGGTATTTATTTTTCGAAACGCATGTCGGAGGGTTTGTCCCTTCCCGTTCGCCGTAGTGTTGTGTGTTAACTATGCGCGGGACTCTCAAATACGCCGGTGTTTGATAACGAAAACAAAAGCTAACATTTTGGTTACTTGATATGTTCTTAAATAAGATGTTCGTGGTAGTTTAAAACGACGAGTTTTTGCTGTGGGAGTTATTTATTTAATGCAGAGGCAGGGCGCTTCTGCTGCCAAAGTAAGAAGAAAAAGAAGAGAAGGCTTTTGTAAAAAAGACAGAAAAAGGCACATCTATTTAAATGTATTCATTTAATTTGGATTAAATTCCTGATTCAGAATGGTAGGTTGCAATTTTAATCTCTCAATTCGTTATAAATGTTGATTCATGTAACGTTATGCTTAGATACCTGTAACGTTAATCTTCATGTGTACGCATTATGTTCTGATTGTTGTTGATTCGTGTTCAGTAAGTTCATTAAAACCTTCTGCAATTATTAATACCTGCAGAGGAGAAGTCTAGCACCCAGTCAGGTGGCCAAAAGGAAACAAGGGCCGGATTCAGATGATGAGGACTGGGAGCCTGGCATCGTGAGTCGGTCCCAAAGCTCTTGTCTTGACTGAATTCTCAGCATCAGTGAGGACATGATGGACTGTTTACACTGGTTCTACTTTACAGGCATCACAGAGTAAGAGAGGCTGTCGAGAAACCTACATCTCTCCCTTCAGAAAACCCCTGACAGCGCTCACCAACAGACCCCTGTGCACAGATGGCGAGGAGCATGTGAGTTATATTTCAAATGAAACACTAGTATGGGAACACACTGGAAATCTAACAGATAATAGAACTAAAAACAGAAATGCAAGACATGATAAATCCTGCTTTTGGGCATATGTGTGTGAGGACAGCCATACATAAATGTAAATATTGCCGATTTCTAAAGCATTCACATTTAAACCTAGAAAGACTTTTGCCTTCACATTGGGATTTCAGTCGTCCTGGATAACAGACAGCTTGGGCAATTTTTGTATTGATGCATTATGATATACATGATAGTTTTGACAGGAAATTTCAGTATCCTAAAGGATAATTTTACCTTGTAAATGTGCAGTATTCATGTACAAGGCTATTGATAAATTCTGGGAGGTAGCATTGAAATATGAAGGGGCATTACTATAATTATTCATTATCGTATAATTGTTTAGATTCTATAACTAATCACTTTAACTTCTCACAGGAAGCATTCATTCGCAAGATCTTGTCAAAGCCATTTAAAATTCCCATCCCAAATTATTCAGGTCAGTCTGTACTCATAACTCACTTTCATTAATGGTTGACCGATATATTGCCAAAGCTGATATTTGACTTTTTTTTTAATGATCTGCATTGGTCGATGTGTCAGTAAGGGGATTTTTGTTTTTACAGCACTAAGAACGTGAGCACCTGATCATCTTCATTAGTTTACTGTCTCTGTTAAACAGTTTTGTCTCTTAATTTATTACCAGCTAAACAATTCTATTTTATAGATAGTGTGTTTTTTTTTTTTCATATATATTCATTTTCAAGTTTTTTCTGATTTCGTAAATATTATATTTAGGGCTGCAAAACGATTAATCGCATTCCAAATAATAGTTTATGTTTACAGACTATGTGTGTACTGTGTATATTTATGATGTATATATAAATACACACACATGTACGTAAAATATGTTAGATTTATATATAAACTATTTATATTTATATAATATAAATTATATGCAAGTATAACTACATATACA